CAATTTCCCCATAGTGGGACAGTAAAGGGATTTTCTATTCTATTCTACCCAATTCTGACAAAAGAGATGTGATAGCAACAGCTACCTGTGCATCTTCCTGCACTGACATGTTTATTTCGGATTGGGTTTTCGGCTTGTCAGCTCCTGTTTTTGTCATAACAAGCCCTAACCGCTTAAACCATAATGATGCAACGTGATAGGACCAATTCTCTTTATAATGTATAACTCCCACTCGGTACGATTAGTAGACCGCATGGGGTATATTTTCACTGTTATGCTGATGACAGCCAGCTATATCTGTCTATAAATCTAGATAAAAATAACCCATTACATAGACTAAAGGCATGTCTTGAAGTCATAAAAACCAGGATGACTCTTAACTTTCTGCTCCTAAATGCAGACAAAACAGAAGTTATAGTCTTTGGACTAGAGTCTTTGAAAAAGAAGCTGATTAGTCACTATATTTGAATGAGATTACATTGATCTTGAATAATAAAGTAAAAAATACTGGTGTTATGTTTGATCAGGACCTGTCATTTAAATCCCATATCAAAGATGTTTCAATGAGGTAATGACAAAATATGGCTCACATTCATCAATGCTTTAGAGGGCAATCACAGTCTCCCCACGGGCCCCGATAACCCAGCATACAACACCTCTCCAACTGATCCAGCACAAGGCTTCCACAATGCCATCTTTTGTATCCAGCCCCCCATGAAACCCGAAACCCACTCACCTTGTCTTTGCAGCAAAAAATGGCTAAAAACAACAGTCTATCAGAGGGCAAAACAGAAACAAACAGGACAAACAACTATTCCAGACGCATACACTCACACTTATGGAGAATTTAGAGAAACCAAGAAAAGCCAATTAACAGTCATGTTTTTGGTCTGTTGGAGGAAGCTAGAGTACCCTTAGAGAACCCTTGCATGCACAAGGAGAACATGCAAACTAAATGCAGGAAGACCTTGGGCCGGGACTCAGCCAGCTAGAGAGGTAATATTAACCAATGTATTTAAAAAGGCTTTACTTAATATAAGATCTATTAATAATATTTTGTAACAGAGACATGGCTAGATTAGATTTTTTTTTGTGTTTTTCAGCACTAGTGGACGTTTTTTGGACAGTAGGCTGACATGATAGGGGGTATGAGTAGGGTTGGGAACTGATAAGATATTCACGATTCTGATGCCCTTATCAATTTGTTGAAACGGTTCGATTCCTAATTGATTCTCTTATCGATTATGTTAACAATGAACTTATTAAGTGCACGGTGACATTCGTCTACCTTGGCCTGGGACATTCTATTTCTGCCTGGCTCGGCAAAAACAGAAGGCAGTGAACGGGAGCTGCCAGCCTCTGAGCCAGCCAGGCTACCCGTCACAGTCATCTAAATCTAATTGAGAAGGCATCTGTTTAATGAAAAAGCATCACTGTACAAGCCAGGGATATAAATCTAGCTACTTATCACCAGAGTTGCCTCCATGCTGGTTGTAACTTTAGTTTTTGTCTGGAAGCATCAAAAACACGGCATTCGGTAAATTGTATGCCATGTTGTGTGCGCAGGTGTTTCTGCATCTTGGATGTATTTCCTCCCACGGATGTAATTTCCACTTTGCAATAATTGCAAAGCGCCTTGTTGCCATCTTTCTCCTCCTTAAAATTAAGCCAAACTTTTGATCGCTTTACCCGATGGAACGCCATTTTTTTGTTTTGCTTTTCTAGACTTACACCTGGTCACGTCGTACTTGCTTACTGAATGCCGTGTGCATAACTTGCTTAATAAACATGACGTAAGTCGTGCTGTCCAGCGCTAGGCTCTGGTGCTGCTTGGAACCGTTAAAAGAATCGTTAAGCAAGCTGGTGCCATGGAATTGAAAAACACGGAACCGGTCCTGAACAGGAACCAGTTTTCGATTCCCATGCCTAGGTATGAGAGAGGGGGAGAGACATGCAGCAAAGGACAACAGGCCAGATTTGTAATTTCACCGGGTCACCGAGTGACTTTGTGATGTGAACTCATCAGAGCGTTGGTTAGATGCTTAAAACGGATCAATACGTGGCTGTGCCATCGTTTTCTTCAACAGAAAAAAACAAAACAGAGGTAATAATCTTTGGACCAAAGAAGGAAAGATTCAGGTAGCTCATAGATTCAGCTACTACAGCTAGAAACTGCTGATTATTGTCATGAAGTCATGATGGACTCAGAGCTGAACCTTCAGGGGCACATAAAGGCAGTTACTAAGTGAGCCTTTTATCACCTGAAGAACATGTCCAAGATTAAAGCACCAATGATCAATCAGGATCTAGAAAAACTCTTTCATGCATTTATCTTTTGTAGAATTGATTACAGCAACAATGCCTTTATTGGTTTGCCTAAAACTTGCATCAGACAGCTGCAGCTGATCCAAAACTCTGCTGCCTGTGTTCTCACTAGATTTAAGAATGTAGAGCACATCAGCTCGGTTCTGAGGTCCATACACTGCACTGCATCTATCTGGAACAAACTCTCTGAAGATTGTAAAAGTGCTGAAAGCCTGAGTTCTTTAAGTCAAAGTTGAAAACCCATTTGTGTAAAACTGCCTTTAACTGTTAACGTTAAACTGATAACTTAGGTTTGATTAGTTCACGTTTGTGGTCCAAGTGCTTTATTTGCCCTACCTTTATTGTGTTTTTATCTGTACTTGCTTTAATTTTGCTTTTAGATTTCTTATATTTGATTGTTTAATTTATGTAAAGTACTTTGAATTGTCTTTGTACTGAATTTTGCAATCACAAATAAACTTGCTCTGCCTGGTCATTTAAAAATACCACACTTTTTAAAGCATCTAAATACCAGTTTTACTGAATTACTGAAACAGGGCAACTTTCTCAAGTATTCTTTTTTTTTTTTACTTTAGAAATGTTTTCATGTCTTCTTTTTTTAAACTAGCTTCAAATGTAACTGAAATTAGTAAGGATGGAAACATATTGATCATTCCTTACAACAGTCATACATAGAAAATAACATCATGAAGTTAAACCACAAAAGTAGATAAACAGTACAGAAATGTTTAGCTACCACCACAAGGTGGCAGTAATGTATGAACATGGACTGTCTTTCTCTTCAGGAGCTTAGGGGAGTTGGAGCGACTGTTCTGCGTGTTTTAGATTAACATTAAGGTCTTTCCTGGAATCCAAATTTGATTTTTTTAGAAAAATCTGGACAATGTGAGCAAGATGGTTCCAACTTTGGCTGTCAGTATTCAGCAGGACGACTGCAAAAGGTATAACCTGGAACATTCCTTATGGGGGCCAGTCTTCATCACATTTCCATCCCTTAAAGATCTGATATTTGGATGTCTTCTGGATGATCCCTGTGTAGTTTATTTTAACCTTTTTTACCCACATTGACTTTAACATTGAGGACTGCCTTTATTTCATCCAGCTCCAGCTATCATCAAGGCAGGTGATTGGGTAGGTCAGAGGGATGGCAGCGGTTGGTTTGGGGGAGATGTAAACCTGTTAGGCACATGCACGTGAAGTTTTCTAGAAGACATTTTGCCTCTCATCCAAGAGGTTTCTTCGGTTTCTTGGATGAGAGGCAAAACTTCTTCCAGGAAACTTCACGTCCACTTGCCTATACTGTAATCTACAACCAACTTTTATAATTTCTGCTGTTTATCTGTCTCATTTGAGCGTCACTAAGCTTGCTCTATCCTGCAGTGATCTCACCGCATCACTTGGATCCTTCCCTGCCGTCCTCAGGGATTCTGAGAAGGTTAATTGATTTTTCTCAGGTAGAACTGTGGAAATTGAGAATCAGTCCATCCTCTAACCTGATATCTCCTTCTCAGAGGTTCTTGTTTTCCACGCTGAACGGTTTCCTGCAGTGTCTGATGAATTCTTTGAATAAATCTGTCTGGCACTTTACACTAAATCAGATCAAAATATTAATTAGATAAGACAAGCATTCATATAATAAAAAAGTTATGGGAAAATTCTGCATCGTTTGTAAATCTTTGCATCTGGGTATCATTATAATATTTTTTTTTTCTTAGGCTATCAGAATCAGAGTGTCAGGCTTCTGCCCTGTGTTTAAGTTTATTTTTAGTTTCTTTGTATTTGTAGTTGTTTGCTAACAGTGTTTTGTTCTTGAGTTACTCTCTGTTGCCCCCTTGTGTTTGTTTCCTTCTACAAAACTCCTCTTTCCCTCCTCACCCCTGCTTTTGGGTCCTCAAAAACCTCAACTCAACCGTGACACAGAGAATCATAATCAAGAGCTATATACAATATAAACCTACAATAGTAAATAGCTGGTGAAGTTTTATCCGGGGTGCCTATAAATTCAAAATAGATGTATACCTAAAACAATCAAATGTATACTAGGTTATCACACCAGTATATTTATATGAATGCCAACAACAAAAAACATTATAAAAACAAAACATAATTTACATGTTTACTTTATGTACATATATCTTGCCCTTCTGAGGCCTTGTGAAGGCAAATCTATGTTTTGCATGGTCCAATTTGTGTCACAAACCTATAAAAATAATGCACCAGTTTAATAATGTAGAAGTTATTAGTCAGCTTTACATTTTTTTAATAATATATAAAAACTATTTATTTTCTGAGAATTAGTTTATTTAGGAGCAACTATGCAAATTAAACATCTATAAAAAGTCCACTATAAAAACACTATATGCTGTCACCTCAGGTCGCTACTCAGAAGCCCCCTGGGCCATCCTATACGTTTGTATTGCAGAGGAGCTACTGTGCATCTACAACTTTTAACGAGAGTAAATAGGTAAACATTCTTGCTCCCTAGGGTGGAAATACCTCATCAATCTGACGGAAAATAAAATGACGCTTTAGTCATCATTAAAGATTAAATATATCGTGCACATCTAAAAAATATATATCAATACATTTCAAAATATTTTAAATTGTAATTTAAAATTAAATTCTACAAAAAATAATCATTTTTTATTTTTTTTTATTTCTTAATCAGGGTCATTGGGTGGGGCGGCACCCTAGCACCCTCTATTGGCCAGCTGCCACTGTATAGCAACGTACTCTATACACACAGGCTACGTTAATGTAATGCAGGAGGTCTGGAGATGCTACTTTGGTGTAGCTTCTAGGTCCTGAACAGTGTTGATGTGTGGTAGGGGGGTGGGGGGTGGCAGTTCAGGCTACTAGACAAATCTGCTTTTATAATGATTAACATTTTAAATCTAGGTATTCTTTCTCACTTGGAAAAATAGCTTTTTGAGCAAATCTTTGTTTTTATTGCTGGTCAGTTTACTGTGAAGCAAAGTGTAGCAAATCTTCTCCCATGACTCGATCTGTGAGCGGAATAATGCAATCCTGGCTCTGAGAAACTTTGAGAGATTAGCCTCAGTGCCTTTGGCCAGACTCATGCTGTCTTTGGTGATAAAGAAGATATCCATACCAAGAAATAAGGCATTAAGTGCAATAAATCCCCCTCTAGCTCCCTTGGAGAGAGCCAGAGGCCCTTTCACTGCTGCCTGACCCATATCAGGAACATCGGCAGCCATACCCGATATGTTGCGTAGTGCTTTTCCATCTTGTGTTACAACTTTTCCTGCACTTGCAACAGTATCAACGATTGAATCAATGCTCTTTCCTATGGTACCTGCTTTAGAAGCGATCCTGCCTACTACCACCGCTACATCTACTTCACTTTGCTCCAGACTTGTTGTTTGTTGCTCCACCACATCATCAAGACAATTCTGGATTCTTTGGAAATCTTTCATGAAACTTTGAAAGGCTTCATTTGCCCTTTTCTGATTAGAACGATTTACTCCAAACTCTGTCGCAGTGGTCACCAAACTGTTGGTTCCACTTGTTACCCCGATTGCCACACCAGCTATTATCAGCCCTGAAGACACTCCTGCTGTTACTGGAATTAATGCCAAACCAACAATGGAAAGTACACCTCCAATTGCTCCAACTGAGCTTCCTGTTACACTGGAGATCTTTGCTCCTTTGTTCATCCTGTCTAACTGAACAGCACACTGCTCCAAGTCATCAAGAAACTTTAGCATTTCTGGCAGTCGATCATCAAATATTCTGATTAAATCAGCTGGGGAAACCTCTTGGAACAAGAAAGCCATCCGAAAGTGTTCATCCATCCTGTGGAAGAAATAATAATTTTATAGCAATTTTTCATATAATAAACAAAAGTAAATAAGTAGTAGTTTGTTATTTCTAAGAAAATTAATTATAACAACCATGGTTAATTAGAAACTTAAAGTGAGTCAGCAGATACTTTTCTGGTGTCTATCTAAAGGTAACAAATTGAGTGATACCAAGATGACTATCTATGTGAAAAGTGTTGGTTGAGACAAAACTGACTTAAAGTAAAATAAATATTTTTTCCACTCTGTTGGTAGATAAAATGCCCTCCCTCTGGGTTGATAAAAATAAAAAGGGATGCAGCAACTTAAACTGTTACTAGACAGTGGATCTGCCCATGAAGTTAATCTCAATCTGTCATGATCTCAATGCTGATGCTGGCCAGATCCCTCTTTCCTCAGATCAGACTTTGGTGCCAGATTATTCCAGCCTTTTTGGTGTGCCAGTCCACTGAACTTTGTTTGTCTGCCTGCCTGTTTATGACCTGTTTCTCCTCTGAGCCTGTACTCTGGTTCAATCCGTAACATAAATAATCTGGCCACAAATTGACCCATCGCCAGATCAGCAGTGGCGTACAGGTGTGGAGGAAGCTATTTTACGTTTAGGTCCTGGTGTCAATGAGATATTAAACCAATTACGCAACCCCTCACTTCCTGCCCCCACAGTGCAACATTCGTCAGATCCAATCACTGCTCAAACAATTCCAGTTTCGGCCACTAGAGAGCCTCGTTTATCCCCACATTAGTAATTTAGAGGTGAACCTGAACAGTGTAGAGCATTTTACAACCAGTGTGGGATCCATTTTGAACTGCAGCCTTCAGCTTACCATACTGATTGTGCTAAAGTGGCATTTGTGATATCCTGACTAGCAGGCTAGGCTAAGTTATGGGGCACTTCTGAATAGCAAAGAGACTCTGATCCTGTCTGCTCCTGTGCGTGACCACCTGGTCACGCTTCCGGACCCTGTCAGACTCTGAACCCGCCTGGGAGATCTAGGAAGCCTACTAAATTAGTTGACAATTATTACAATAATTGATTAATCATGAAGAAGAATTTGTGAACTTGTGTTGATTAGGCCTCAATTTAAATCCAAAAGCACATAATGGTAGAAAAAGGTCAAAATCAATTCCCAAAATATTTCCAAGAAATGTATAAATTGTGCAAAGTATTTTTAATAAATTTTTTGTCACCCTAGGGGTGTTGCAGTACCCCAATGTCTTTGTATGATACCTCCTTTTAGATCAGTTGGCCATGAAAGATGAGTCAAAAGCTGAATTTGAGACCCCCTGAATTTGAGCGTGAGAACCCCTCACTCTTTGTAACTATAAAATTCTAAGAAATTTCATCAGACAAGTACTTGTGTCTGTAATAATAAAAAAAAGCTTGCATTTTTTCTTTTTTAATTGAATAGAAAATGTTCCTGACAGGTATTGATTTATTTCATAAATTGTGTCAAACGTACCTTGTTTTTTCAAGTAGTTTAATGTGATTTGTCATGATTTGCATCTCATTTTCACTCAGACCATCTTGATCAACAGCTATTTCTTCAGCCATTTCCAAGGAAATTTCAAAGTTGAAGCTGTGAAAAGAGCATTAGCTGAAGACTTCATTTTTATTTGAAACGTGAGTTTATTCTCTGTATTTATGCTACAAGTATGATTTTACCTTGTTGCATGAATTAGACGTTTGGTGGTCTGTATGTACTTTTGAAGTTGTGATGTAAGCACTTCCACATTGTGAAGTTTAGGAAGGAAGAAGGACTTTGCATCTCTTTTGAACTCCAGCAGTAGAGGGCAGATCTGTCTTGCATCTTTGATGACAGCTTGAACATCATTGAAGCTGATCGTCTCAGGAAGGTGTAGAATCTGGCTCTCAGTGAAGACATTCAGTGAAGTCACAGCCAGCTTCTCCATTGCGTCCAAGAAGATGTCAAGTTGCTCCAAGCCTTCCAGTGTTCCTTTTAACACTTCATCCAGCACATTTTCTAGCTCTGCAAGTTTTCTCTCTGTGTTCATCTGAACAAGGCTTTTCAAGTATTTACCAAAGGCTGCCATCCTTCCCTCTGACTTGGTGAAGGTGGGATCAATATTGTCAGCCATTTCCTTGACACTTATCATTTTCACGTACTCTATTTCTCTGCAGTCTTTCCATTCAGAGAAACTCTCAGAGAAATCTTTCACTGTTGCCATGTAAGATAAAGTATCAGTGACGTACTGGCACAACGCCCTTTGGAGTTTCCACCTGCAGGATAGAAAAATGTCTCTCAGTTTTTGCATGTACATACAAATTCACAAGACACAGGATTGCAGCTCTAAATAAGGATTTACTCAAAAATAAATAGTTCATCAGAATATTTGTTTTATTGTTTTATGATTTGCCGCATGGTTTGGTTGAGGCAAATCATGCAATGTTTCTAAACGTTACTGTTCCGTATTTTATCTCCTAAAGGAAATTTTCAGGATTTATTTTTAGCGTCATTAAGAGGCTAGTGATCTATTTATCTTGAGAAAACAAAACTTGACAAAACTTCACAACTTTTAATAAAAAAAAAACAATGGAAACAGACAGAGGTTTTGTCTAACTTCTAATACTGTTAGCCTTTTTTACAAATTATTCATGTATGTTAACTCTTTCTCTAAAATGAACTTTTTTTTTTTGTTTTTTTTACCTGTGTCCGGTCATTTTGTTGGTTTCTCACCACAAACAGTCTTGCTGAATCTTATGCTCTTGAAAGCTACTGAATGAGGAATGTTCTGTAACCAAACTAATGAAGCTGGCAACAGTCTTTGGCTTTTTATTTAAGCCACACCTGCTAATGTACTCATCCGCCCTTTTTTTTATTATTATATTGTTTAATTTGAGCAGAACTACAAATCTCCCTTTGCTAAATGTCCATCTAAAAGCCTTTTTTACAGTTTGTTCAGGTCAAAAGCAGAACAGCATGTTATAAATATGGTTTAAACTAAAATTACTTTCAGGTAATTTCCTGTTTTTTAGAAACCAGGTCCTGAAAAGTAAATATTTGCAAAGGGTGGTCTTAGACTGTAGTTTAAACACACATGCCTGTTGTAATGCACACCATAACGATAAAGTAACCAAATAAAAAGATTAATCATTTACCATTTGCTACTTCTAACTTCATCTTTATGCCGGTTTCGCTGTAATGTTAGGCACTGCATTAAAATCAATATGTCTGCTCTGGATGGAGTGAAACTGCTGTTAAAATTACCTTCTATAACATTTCATTTGTATTTACTTCTTTGTGTTTTAGATTATTGTACAAATGTTATTAAGTTACAGTTTAATGATAACTTTCTTTCGTCAGGGAAAGCAATGTTTATACGATCATTTTCATAAAATAACCAGATTGTGTTTGGGAAAACAGTCTGCCAGCCACATCCACTATGCTCAATCAAAATAAGAAATGTTATTAAACAGAACCAGGTTGACAAAAAAAATGAATCTTGTTTCTAACATCTATCAGTCTGAATATTCAAACAAGTTATTAGCTTCTGCAAAAAACCCAGAGAGATACTAACAGCGGAGAATACATGGAACAACTGTGACCCTGTGGGAGAGGTCGAGCAGCTAAAAATACTCAGAGAAGATTGACAACTGATCCATGAGGTCAGTAAGGATCCTAAAGCAACAAACAAAGCTCTACAGGTATCACTTCTCTCAGTTCATGATTCAGCTATAAGAGATATAAGCATCTCATATCTGCTTAACAACATCTCAATGATTAAAGACTTCTGGGAAATATTCTGTGGATTCAAAAGATAAAACAGAAAGTTTTTTTAAATGTGCATCTCACTGAAATTCTAGTGAAACTACCAGAGCTTTTCCTCAAAGAGTTTGTTGGTTTAGTATTCCTGTGATAGAGTGATGCCTGATTGTGTTTGATGAAACCATAGATTTTATTCTGTCTGCACAAAAATTCAAGAACATTTAGGTTGTGCAAAAGCACAGAAATTCAAGGCACACCAGTGTGTTATGACTGCTTCAATTAGCATCATGAAAAGTCGTGTTCTGGGTTTTATTTGTATATTTTGTAAAATAACTCAGTCGATTCAGACTTAAATGACAGTAATTATTGTTTTTCTGAAATCTTGCCTGAATATTTTCTTTACTTGGCATGCCAGATTAGATAATGTGTCTTTAATACTTCACATTAATAATCTGGGGCTGAAATAAGACAATGCAGTATTCCTTATTTTAAGTGTAAATTGTCCCGTTCCATTGGCAAAGTGTCACACCTCCAGCGTGGAGAGACTATGTCTCTGAGCTGGCCTGGTGGCACCTCTGGGTCCCCCCAGAGCAGCTGGAGGAGGTTTGTGTGGATCGGGAAGTCTGGGCATCTCTGCTTAGACTGCTGCCTCCGTGACCCGGCCCCGGATAAAGTGGAAGAAAATAGATGGATGGATGGATGGATGGATGGATGGATGGATGGATGGATGGATGGATGGATGGATGGATGGATGGATGGATGGATGGATGGATGGATGGATGGATGGATGGATGGATGGATGGATGGATGGATGGATGGATGGATGGATGGATTCTATTCTGCCAGATAATTCATTTTTCCTAACATTTTAAAACTGGACTGTAAATATATGTAGTGACTGAAAGAGGAACAATAATCCACAAAGAGAGAGTGTAAGCATTTCCCATCTGCTTAAATCCCATTTTATTTCTATTATTAATTTGTCATGATTAGAGGGGAGCAGTTGAGTTGTCAACAGGTAAGAACTACTCAAAAGTATCTAAATCCTTTTTCGATCTTCCAAACGAAACTAACTGATCTAAATGGGAAGGCAAATTTCCTACAGTCATCATAGCTTCCAACTTATTTCTTATGACCTTGTATTCTACTGTCATAACATAGTGAGGAGAGCTGGAACTCAAATGTTTGTTTTATTTATAAACATTTCTTTTTATTTATCCTCAAAATCCTCAAAACACAGAGTCTGGATAACAACACTAGGACCCCAGAGGCCTGCATTCCTAAAGATTACTCTATGTTTCCTATTGTGATTACTGTATGTTTGCTCTGTGTAAATTAGAAAAAAATAAATTAGAAAAATAATGCACAATAACTTTTTTGTTTTACTTCAGACAAAGCTTGTTTTAAAATGATCCTTAGTGAATCATTGAAATAATCTGATGTTTATGTCAGTGGCAGCCAGTTAATTAAAAGCTACTTGGGGTATTTATTCTTTTTGCTTTCTGTTTTATGGCTCTGTCTGAAAGTCTGCCCCTTTTTTTACATGAGTGAATGTCTAGTAGATCAAAAAGTATTGGAATCAAAATTTTCCACGATGTTCCTTGAAAAGTGATGAGCATCCATGTTCACAAGCGGATACAGTGGGTAAAATAAGTATTGAGCACGCCACCATTTATGTCCACAAATATATTGCTAGAGGTGCTATTGACATGACATTTTCACCAGATTTCGGTAACAATCCATGCAATCTATCCATAAATATAAAGAAATCAACCACAGTTGTGCAGAAGTTATGTGTAATAATGTGGAATGGCATAGGAAAAAAGTATTGAACACACTGAAATAATTTGTTACTTTGTACAAAAGCCTTTGTTGGCAATGACATCTTCAAGACGGCTCCTGTATGGAGAAATTAGGGCAGGCACAGTGTGAGTTGGGGAGTTGGGTCACGTGACCAACAGGGAGCAAAAAGTAGTGATTATCTCTTCAAACGATCAGTTAACTGAGTTCACTATTAAGTCCATAATTTAGTTCCAGCTGTATATAGTTATTGAGGGTTTTAAGGGTTAGGGTGGGTCTGAACCAGCGTCATGCATTTCAGGCAACTTCACTTGCCAAGTTCCCCCTGCAATCAGGCAGTAATGTCATTCACCTGCTTCGCCTTTGTTTATTGACTTTTTCTAAATTTCCTGTTCATGCAGTTTCTTTGGCCAGTTCTTCTTTGTCCTTTGTGCCAAACCTTCCACCCTTAGTATTTGTATTTAGCCTTTTAGTGTTTTGACCCTGTTTGATTTGGATATGCCTCTGTTTCTGGGAACCTCTTCTGTTATTGGATTTTTTGGTATATGACCCAGGATTGAATTAAAGGAAGCTCAAACCAAGCCAACTGTTTTTTGAAGTCTGCTTTTGAGTCATTATATGTCTGAGCTTATGACAAATTATGCACTTAAACTCAGCTTATCTTTGTAGTTTTGGAGGAAGTTTGATGTATAGATTTTGCCCATCTCCTGCATATGCTATTGTGATCATATACTGCTTCAGTCTGTGAGTCTCTCTGCCGACTCTTTACCTTTTTTTATTGAAACATTTTAATTCCCAATGCCACGCTAAATTAGGCAAGATACACAAAAAAAGGCCGGGCAATGGCGTAAATATTGGTGAGCAGAGAAAGCAGTTGCTTAGTGACCCCATCACTGACACCTGGTAGGCGTAAACTCTCTTAGTAGATGTAATGGTGCGAAAAAAAATCCTTTTAGACCCATGTGATACTGAAGTGGTTAACCACACCGTACCGTATTTATACCACAACACATGCCAGATTTCAACATGATGGTGAGCCGTTTAAACACGACATCAATAGCAAAGCAGACAGTGGTACTTTTAATTACTGTTAATAACTGTGTCTAGTTTATTAGACAGTTGGTAAAAAATAAACTCATATAGTCTGTTTCAAACCGCAATAAGGATCTTAAAAGAACGATGTAGTTGAGTATTTAATTTTTTACACTACCACTTGGAATTATGGGTAATCCAGAGCGTAGATATTCATCTACGTGAAATGAGTTTTTAACTTTTGGGATGTCTGTAACATGTGGTGGTGCGCTGTCACCAGTGAATTTTGATGTGTGATCATATACTACTGAGAATTGCATAATTGTATCTTCTTGGCCGATAATTGGAACTGTTGCCCTATCCTTAAACTTTTTCAGGTGTTGTACTTCATATGGGCCCCACCCAGATAATGTTGCTTATGGGCCTATTTTTGTGTCGTTAAGCCATTGGGATGGAGGTATAGTGACAGGACCCACACTGTTACACGCAGCTTAAATGCCACCTTAATGGTCGGAGATACCTGTTCATTGCACATATGTATTTTAATATCTTACAAGGTTAATGGATAGAAAGGCAGACCTTTCACTTCTTAATGTTGTTTTGGAATAATGTTAATAAACCTCCTTTTGGATTATGTAATAATAACCATGATGTCATTGTTTTCCACAACATCACACCTATTGTTTAATATTTATCATCCCTTAGTTGATAGAAAGTATGATTAAATTAATTAAATCTGTAAACTTTTATTGGTACTTAAAGAATGTGTACTAATAAAAGCTTTAATCAGTCACTTCAGCACAATTAGCCCTTTGGAATCTAAGTTGAAAACCTACAATGAAAAGATTGGTGGTAGATGTTTAGCTGTGTCATCCTGGTTAGTATCACATTAATATATCATATATATGTCTGTTCTTTTATCAGTCATTATGGAAAATAACTTCAGGAAGTTCACCAAAAACATGGAAGTGCTCGTTTCCAGCACACATTGCTATACATTACTGCCACCACAAGGGGGCAGAGATGTATCAGCTTGTACCAGCATTATTTTTAGGAGCTGAGGTCAACAGCTCATGTATAACATTTACAATAGGTGCTTCCAGGGTTAGGGTTAGGTTAATTACTTTTATGATAAACAACAAAGCTGATATAAAGCATAAAGAACCATTCAACTTTTAAGTGCAAATTTCTTTAGAATGATGTAGATGTAATTTTCACAAATTTAAAACTTTTATTGTTAAGGTCAAAATGACAGAGTACAATTATTGGTTGTTAAAATATATTTGATTGTACAAAATGAATCAGATATTGCTTGATTTTACTTATAACCGTATGAAGAACCTGCAGTGGTCTGGTCTGGGACACAGGTAGGTTTGATGATCTTAAGGATCGTGATTCGTTTGGGATCCCAGACGCAGTTCTCCTCCAGGCCACTCTTCGTCATCCCACAGTTGGGCGGTACCCAGGCGGTGTCATATCCATGATCATGCCAGGTCTTCTGCAGAGGGTGGCCCTGGTAATTTATTATTGTTACCTTCCCTACATTGACCTTAACCCTGATGACCACCCTGTCCTCCTCAGGATGATCAATAGGATAGCGACTTGCTTTCTCCAGGTCTCGGCTGAGGTAGACGCCACGGCCAAGCATCCCATCCTCAGATTGACGGAAACCAGTGGCCAAGATGGCCTGAGCAAACTTTGTGCTGGTGCCATGATACATGATGTAGGTTTGACCATCATTCGGCTGCGGGGTAAGCAGTCGAGATACTCCAGCAGGAAGAACAAAGTCGTCTTCAGCCCACTGTAATCTGAAAGTGCTCATGTTGAAGTAAGGATATCTGGAAAGAAATTTGAGAAAAAGAAGCAAGACATTTAAGAGTAAATCTATTCATGTATTTTATTTACAAATACTGTACAAAGGTATTTATATTTGCTGGTTAGTATCACATTAATATCATACATATGTCTGTTCTTTTATCAGTCATTATGGAAAAGAACTTCAGGAAGTTCGCCAAATACAACAAAGTGCTCGTTTCCAGTACCACATTGCTATACATCACTGCCACCACAAGGGGGCAGTGATGTATCAGCTTGTACCAACATTATTTTTAGGAGCTGAGGTCAACAGCTCATGTATAACATTTACAATAGGTGCTTCCAGGGTTAGGGTTAGGTTAATTACTTTTATGATAAACAACAACGCTGATATAAAGCATAAAGAACCATTCAACTTTTAAGTGCAAATTTTTTTAGAATGATGTAGATGTAATTTTCACAAATTTAAAACTTTTATTATTAAGGTCAAAATGACAGAGTACAATTATTGGTTGTCAAAATATATTTGATTGTACAAAATGAATCAGATATTGCTTGATTTTACCTTGCAAAGTTCTGGGCTGGGACACGGGTAGGTTTGATGAGCTGAAGGATCGTGATTCGTTTGGGATCCCAGACGCAGTTCTCCTCCAGGCCACTCTTCACCATCCCACAGTTGGGCGGTACCCAGGCGGTGTCATATCCATGATCATGCCAGGTCTTCTGCAGAGGGTGGCCCTGGTAATTTATTATTGTTACCTTCCCTACATTGACCTTAACCCTGATGACCACCCTGTCCTCCTCAGGATGATCAATAGGATAGCGACTTGCTTTCTCCAGGTCTCGGCTGAGGTAGACCCCACGACCAAGCATCCCATTCGGAGATTGATGGAAACCAGTAACCGAGATGGCCTGAGCCTTCTCTCTGGTGGTGCCATGATACATGATGTAGGTTTGGCCATCATTCGGCTGCGGGGTAAGCAATCGAGATGCTCCAGCAGGAAGAACAAAGTCGTCTTCAGCCCACCGTAACCTGAACATGCTCATGTTGAAGTAAGAATATCTGGAAAGGAAAACGAGAAAAAGAAGCAAAACATTTAAGACTAAATCTATTCATGTATTTTATTTACAAATACTATACAATGGTATTTATATTTGCTTATTTTCCAAAGCTCAACCACTGTTTTAATTGTTGCCATACTTTAAGAGGCCATTCATTTTCTAAAAAGGTGTCAATTAAATGTCACTTAAAATGAATCAACTTTGCTACCCATTGGGGTACATTTGTACATGCATTCAACTTTGTGCACTGTTGAAAATATCTAAAAAACGTATCAAATCTTTATTGTGAAAAAAAAAACATGTTGGGTATTCCTACTTTTTTAAAGGTATACTATGCAACCGGTGTTGATTTTCCAGCGAGGCTCCCCCCAGAGGGCGAAAGTAAAAGTGCACTGTCGTAAATATGCTCAGCTGTTCTCCTGGTTTCTCCGTCAAGCCAGGCGCGTTGTTTTGAGCTTAGCAGACAGGCGAACGCAGCTGGCGTGACAGAAGCAGCGAGTTTACATGCAAAGTCAATGGTTGACGCGTGTCAAGGCGCAGCAAAAGGTCCCGCGGCGCGTTTTGAGCAAGCAAGAGCAGCGCGTCTGAGCAGCTGAAGCAGCGCGTCGGGCGCGTTTAAGCATCCGACGCGTGTGACGCGCCGCAAACGCGCTGCTGCTCGAGATGGAAAAATTTTATTTTTGCTCCTCGACGCGCCGCCTCAACCAATCAGAGAAGCTGATCTGGGAGCTGGCAGGGAGAGAGACACAGCGCTGATGATCAGAGCGCTGTGATCACTCCTTTGAAACAGTTTATTGACGCCTAAATTAACTTAAAATGCAGAAATCTGCAGGCAGAATATGTTCACTTTTATTATCCTGCAGTTTGGATTATTTAGATGAAAAACACCTACCAGCTGCCGCGATGAACCACGAGGAGGCGACCCGGCCAGAGGCTGCTGATGAAGGGATTCCAACTGTCGGCGCACCGCTGCTATGTGGGGGTCTGAGCGGCTCCGACAGAAAAAATATTGGAAGGCAGGATTGTAATCTGGAGGAACTGACTGCACTGATTACGTTTTCAGGTGTATTTTCTCACTTAAACACATATTAAAACTACTTTATTCCCACTGATCACAGCAAATATAGCTGCAAGGCAGAGAAAGGATAGTGAAGCTCCGCCCAACGCGCGTCAGACGCACTTTTGCACCGCGCAGCCAGAGCAGCAAAGCTGCTTCAGCTGCACGTCAGAACTGGTACAAGCAGTAAAAATGAAGCAGCAGACGCGATTTTGCTGCTTCCGATGTGAAAGCAGCGCTGCACAAAGATCGCCACTGTGCTAGCAACGAGCATGCTTTTAACTGGGGGCGTGTAGCAGTTCTCGCCGTAAAGCAAGACCGACTCTCGCAAGACTTCTGAGCCTGTGGGTGCGGGTCGGTGCTCCTGCAATTGCAAGTGCGGTATTTCCCCCACAGACCACCAGGGCGGCCGAGAATACCTTTGTTCAACCTGAAATGACTCATTTAGTCATCCATAACGTTATGGAACACATTAATTAACTGAAAAATGTTGCATAGTGTGCCTTTAAAATAACAGTGAACCTGAAAAACTGATACCACAGACTAGACCAGTTTGCTGTAAAATGTAATTGCAACATCAACACAACAGGATTTGGTAGTTTGTTTGCCCTCTCCTTGCTTCTTTCCTGACAACACAACATGCTAATGTAAGTATTGAGGTTCTATCATCCCAAAAAACCTCTTTTTGACAGTATATGGTGACCACAGCATGTACTTAACCTCATGCTAAATACAAATTTATTTAAAACATTACCCTGTTTTAAATTAATAAAAATAAATGAATAGAATAGGCAACTGTGTAAAAGGACTGTGTTAAAATTCAATCAATTAATTGAACTTTATTGATCTCTCATTTACTGTAACTCATCCCCTTGGGGAGCAGTGGGCTGCAGTCGTGGGGGCACCCAGGGAGCAATCAGGGGTTAAAGGTCTTGCTCAGGGACCCAGAGTGGCAGTCTGTGTGAGTGGGGCTTGATTTCAAGCTCTATGCCCTAACCACTAGGCCGCCATGCCCCTGTGCTATGCAGCCACTACCTATACATTTAGGGAAAACAAGATCATTTTTGTAGGGAAAATATCTTGTTTTTATGATCCTTGCATGAAGTACAACATTTTGAATCCATTACTGTTCTCCTCCATTGCCATACCTTCGTCAACAAGGTCACTGAGGAGAACAGCTCAGGGGGGGGATTTACATATTTCCATATGCCTCCTACATGACTCAATAGCTTAATTTGTTGTGTTCCAAATATAATTAGATACAGCTTAATTTTTTTTAAGTTTTGCAATTATGGATTTGACATTAAATAGTAATATCTAATAATAATATCTTATTTTTGTTCTGCTGATGGAAAAAAAATGTCTAAGTCTTATTTAACAAGATTTTGAGATCCAGTGTTTCTCATTCAAGTCATAATTTTATTTTATCTTTATATGGGAGAACAGATGCAGTCATTTCCTAACTGCTTAAGAAGCACAAGGAGAGATTCTCACAGATAACATTCACAGTTTTTCATATTGATAGTTTCTAACAACAAGGACTGTGAGATTATTTGTTGAAATAACCTTGGGTCTAAGAGGATCAAGCCTATTACAAAACATATAAACCTGGAGCACATCTTCTGAGGCGTCAGTAAGATAAGACCCGCATTCAGCCTCTGTTAGAGCGAATACCTTTAAACCCTATCAATAAACATTAGGACAACTTTTTACTGTAGAAATTATATTTTATCTCTCAGCTTAATTAAAGCTTGCTTCAATTCCAACAAAATCAAACCTTTCAGCAGATTTTCTCTTCTCTTTATGTTACTTGATTATTTGAAAAGGAAATGTCCTGAAAGCTGTACTAAATGAGATTTTGTTTTGTATACATCCTATGTGTACAAAATTACACTAAAGTTTGTCTGTCTGAGTCTACTTGAAAAGTTTTATTGATACATACTTCTTCTAAAAACCTGTGGGAGGAAACTCCAAATAAGGATCTATTTAGTTTTACTTTTGTTTCTCCTGTTGCATTTTGAGGTGTGGTCCACCCAACTGTAGGTTTCACTTCTACAAGCAGGTAAATGTATAGAATTGGGGAACTTTCTGAATTTTCTTCTTTTTTTCTCTCTTTGTTTCATACTACTAAGATAGATCATATTATTTTTGATGTGTAATTGTAGAGAATTTTATCTTCATTAAAAAAAAATTGATTTAAAGACAATCCCATCCAACCATATCTTAAGATATAGTTTAGGTTTCATTTTCTATAAATAATCCATCGCGTGTTGGGCATCGGTTTATTCACATGTAAAACCAAGAGTTTAAAAAGAAGGTTTTAAAAGACTAATGGACTGAATTTCTCACAGACCATAGATCAAATATTTCCTGATCACCAAAATTATCATAGATGATAAATGTTCACAAAAAAAGTGTATATGTACTTTCTTTGAACTGAGAAGTTTACAAACACTTTCTGAGTATTTTATCAATCTGTCTTTAAACTGTATATCTCTGCAAAAAAAGGGTGTGGTAATTTACATTTAGTCCAGTAACAGTTGTATAAATTTTCTTTGAAGTATTTTTAGGCGTAGCTTGATTGCAGCATATTTTATTGGCACTGTAGTAACATAGATAAGTAGTATCGCTACCTTTGTGTAGAATGTTTGGCTACTCTCACAACCACTGGTAACTTATTCAAATGAAAAAAAAAATAACTTTTTTAACAAAAAAATAAATAACCAGATACACAGTTAAAGTGTCAATCCTAGGACAGTTAAAGTCCATTTTCCGTAGATAATGTCTCTGACCATAGGCCTCTTCCTCCTTTGCACTAGTCTGTGGATACTAGATCTGGTGTTGAATCCACCATGCATGGTGAGTAGCTTTGGTTGTTTTACATCAGTGGTCTGAATTTCCTCCTAAGGCTAACTCATTAAAACCGGCATGGTATCGTATAGCAAGGTATAGCTTTTGATTGCCTGGACTTACCATTGAGCTTTTTTTCTTACCATTGAGCTTACTTCTCATCACAGGTATTTGGCTGTTGCTGCCTCCCCTGTGGGCTGTGTGTGGTTGCTATTTGTACGTGGTATTCCAAGGTACTTGTGCCTCCCTTCTACATCTGCTACCCTCCCTTCTGCAGTGCAATCTTCTGTGTGTGGATTACCTTTCCTCTAATCATTATTCTCCAGTTCAAATCATTTCCAAAGTCCCTGCTGTAGATCCTGGTATTGCTGATCAATATCTTGCTCATGCTAGGTATCAGCTTGATGCCATCCATGTACAGCCATCTGCCATTTTTGTCCCAATATCTGCAAACTGCAATTTAACTTTTTTATGGTCTAATCATAGACTGTAAGGGAATGTTTCATGATTCCAGTAAATGATATTTGGTGGACGTTGCTTGTCCTGTGGTATACACACTCTGCTAAGGTGTTCAGGATTTCCAGGCTGCTTTGATTGTGGCCTTCAGCTTATCTGAAGGTATCTCTAATCTCTGTCTTTATAATACTACATACTGTAGGTCTTCAATGGTGTTTTGCCCTTTATTGTCTACTGGTGTTACCTCTATCAGTAAAGCTAGTGTTAGTACCTCTGGCAGTGTGGGCCAGTACCAAGTACTGCTGGAAAAGGCAATCAGCATCTTGAAGTACTGCAAAGGTCCTGGTAGATGGCTGCATTACCTTTGATGTCAGAAAACCCAGTGGAAAATCACCAGAAGATGAGATATATTTTTATGATTTTGTTTTTCCTGCTCAAAACTACAATATTTAGTTTAAGTGACGACACATACTAAAAATCAAAAGTTCAGATGAGCCTCGAAACATTAACACTTTTATTTTTCAGGTCAAAATGACAAAACGTACAAAGTATTTGTTTTAGCCAAATCTATAATAATGCATGTGATTGAAATAAATGAACCAATGATTGCTTCAAATGAAAAGATTTAAAAGACTTGCAACAATGGATTGAGCAGGATCAAGTCTGGGGTAGATGAGCTGAAGGATCTTGATTCGACGAGGATCCCAAACGCAGTCTTCCTCCTGACCACTTGGCACCATTCCACAATTGGGCGGCACCCAGGCAGTGTCGTATCCATGAAAGCGCCAGGTCTTTTGCATAGGGTGATTATTGTATCTGATGGCTATCACTCTGCCCACATTGACCTTAACCTTTATAACCACCCTGTCCCACTCAGGGTGATTAATAGGATACCGGCTCGCTTTCTTCAAGTCTCTGGATAAGTAGACCCCAGGACCAAGCATGCCGTCTTCCGATTGACGGAAACCATTTTCAAGGATAATTTTAGCATTCTGTCGGGTGGTGCCGTGATACATGATGTAGGATTGGTTTTCAACCGTCTGAGGAATAGCCACAGGATATGCTTTCACAGTAAAACTATAAATTTCAATCCGATGTACCCGGCTCATGATGGTGTCAGAATCTCTGCAGGAAAAATGTGGAAACATTTAAACTAGATTTTCTGTTATTGTCCCACCGTTTACAATTTGGATTTGACAATACCAAAGCCAGGCTAAACTTATGCACAAAACTTAATAATATGAAAAAAGTAGCTGTATAAAAAGAAAGACCATTTTTAAGGAAACAAATATCCATTAAAGAAACATATAAAGTAAAAGAGATACTCCCGGTTAAAAAAAGAAAATGGAAAAATAGACAAACAGCAGCCAGTTTACAGGACCTTATCCAACCTCTTCTTCTCAGCATGAGCTGCAGCTCAGTTAAATTAAATTCAGTTTATTTATATTTACAGCACCAATTTACAACACATGTCATCTCAAGGCACTCCATAGAGACAATTCAACCATATCATACAGTCAAAGTTTTCTATCTAAGGAATACCAGTTGATTGCATCGACTAACCGACTCGAAGGCAATCCCTCACACTAAGCATACTTGTAGCGACAGCGAGGAGGAAAAACTCCCTTTTAACAGGAAGAAACCTCCAGCAGAACTAGGCTCAGTCTGAGAGGCCATCTGCTGAGGCCCACTGGGGTTCAAGGAGACAGAAACAGACCTACACAAAGAAGCAAAGTTACAAAAAGTAACGGAAACACACAGCCAGGCAGACAAGCTCCGAGCCAGCTACCATGTCAGACGGTGAAAGAGAGCACATACAGTTAGTCAAAGTCAGAGAAAGAAGACTACACTGAAAAGCTGTTCAAGCTCCAACATCCTCAAACAAAGGTGTTGATGGCAGCAGCACAGTCAATATTTTTCTCCAAGACGGTGTCATAGTCAAACAGGAACAGACCAGATGAAGCTACTATGAGAAAAAGTAGAGAGAGCAGAACGTTAGAGATTGAAATGACAAATTCTGCAGAGTGGGAGAATAGAGATAGAATGAAGCAGAATGATGAAAAAAGGGTCCCTATGTCCTCCAGCTGTCTAAGCCTATAGCAGCAGAACTATAGATATAGCTCAGGATAACCTGAGCCACCCTAACTATAAGCTTTATCAAACAGGAAAGTTTTAAAGCTTCCCTTAAAAAGTAGACAGGATGTCTGCCTCATTAACTAAAACTGGTGGTTTAGCTCTAACATAGAACAACATAAAAGAAGGCTGATGCTGCCGCAGAGACAAAGGAGATTGGGAGAAGCAGTTTTTTTTCCCACCCTGGTCCTCAAGTAACCCTGCCCTTCATGTTTTAGATGTTTCCCAGCTTTCACACACCTGTTATCGATTGAATAGCAGATTATCAGGCTTTGCTGAACTGCAATCATCTGAATAAGGTTTTCTGAACCTCAGAAACATCCAAAACATGCTGAGCAGGGTGCCTTGAGGACCAGGATTGAAAAACACTGCTACAGCAAGAGTTTGCTCGGACACTTAAATAAGTAAAGAGCATTCATGTTTCTCCTGTACAGTTAACTAAGGCTAAAACCCAAACATTTATAGGAGTCAACTATCTCAGCATCAGTTTGCTTTTTCATATTCCCTTTTCAGTGGTCAATAAAATGAAACACACGTTTAACAAACTTGAATTTTCTTCTAAGCTTTTTCCGAACCATTTTACACAGTTACAGTAAAGCGAACAGCAATATCTTGTGCTTGTTTCAAAGAGGCAGAAAGTATAATTTTGCTAATCAGTGCTAAGAGACATTCACTTGCTTTAATTAAATTTGATTATATCCAAATTATAACCACAATGTTTAGCAAATATTCCCCTCAGATTTTTTGTCCTCCTGACTTACCTCTGGCTCTGTCTGTCTTAAAGTACAGCCTGAATCGTGTGCCAATTCTTATAAAACTCTAAATATAGACTTGCTCTGTTTCACTTTCTTTTGGCCTGCTGTCTACCGGAGATTTGTTCCAATCAGATGTAGCTTTCACTTCTGTCAGCCAGTAATATTCCAGATTTCTTTTTATACATGTTGGATTATCCTGAATATTTCTGATGTGAAGCAGCTTAGGAGTTTTGCTGTAGTAAATCAAAATATATACTACAACTCAGGCCAGCCGACAAGTTTACTAGGGCCCGGGAAAACACCTAATTTACATCTAATCTAACAGATTAGCTTAACAGTTAATTAAATCCATTTCAACCTGGAAAGACTAAGCAACAATAAGAGACTTTTAATGATAAGAAATATAGACTTTGGCACTCAGGGCCTTTTTAAGACATTATAAGCATAGAGAATAATAATGTTATAGTTGAACAGATGAATTAGGATAGGTACATGAAATTTGGCTACTTCTTACTATTTAGATATAGATTTATGTTTATAGAAACATATTTAGTCAAGCTAGATAGCATAAAGTCTGGGCAAGTTAATCTTAGGGGGATGATGATTATTTCAAAATCTAATTCTGCAGTACCAACTTCACAGCAGTAATTTCCAACCTATGTTGTTCTGTTCTTTTAGAGAAGTTGAAACATTAGATTTGTCATGCAGTACTTTGTGGGGAATTCTTGTGTTATAGGAGAGTCCTTCAGAAAGTCCCACAGATAGCAAACATCTCAGTGAGACTCATAAACTGATAAGTGTGGACAAAGGTTATAATGGTGGCAATAATTATACAACCGTGCCATATTTGCCACAAGAGATGTTTTATTTATTGAGATTTGTATTGCAGATCAAGCGGTACACAATTGTGAAATTAAAGGAAAATAATGGTTGAACTGTGTTATAAAATATAATTAAAAAGGCACGCATTTGTTGATACTGGAATTGTCTTTCACTTCAGCTACATCGGCAGGCATTACTTGAAGAAGTTTTGCACATCTGAAAACAGACATTTTGCATTATTTCTTATAACTCTACTTCTTCTGTAGAGCAGTTTTCTAATTGTCAGTGCTCATAACAACTCTACCATCACAATATCTGTGTCCTCTTCTTCCCGTGGTTCCCCTGTAGGTTCGACGAGTGTTTTATTATAAAAGAACTCTGTGTTTGGCAACAATCAATGACTGATTCTGGGTATTTTACAAACCCTATGAAAAATGACTGAAAAATAGATAAATATAATTTTCCTGAAAGAAAGATCTTTTGTTTATGTGACAGTCTAATTCAATTTAATTGGATTCTATTATGCCACAATGATTCACAACAAATCCTGTCGAGGCATCAATCAAATCAGAGTGAGAGGTTGGTTAAAATGTTTAAGGAAAACCAGCTGATTGCACTGAGTCATTGAATTGCAGAATAAACTCCTTCTAGAGCTTCTTACTTCAAGGGAACAGTAATGCAAACTGCATCCCCTTTGATTTTTTTGTTTGTTTGTTTTTTTAGCTATTTTTGTATTTTCAGACAATCCTGTGAGTAGATTTAAGTGTTTCAATTAATACTACAGTATAACCAGAATTAGTAACTGTCAGTTTAAATTGGGGACAGGGAGGGCCCTGAGCTGGGGCCTCTTCATTAGAATCAATATGCCAACAGTCACCAAGCTGAAAACTGTAAAGGAAACCAACATTTCACTGTTTGGAAACACATTTAACAAATCAGTGTAAAAGAAGCTTTACAGTTCTGTAAAACTACAACATCTCTGATTTACCCTCAATGCTGAGAAATAATCTAGACCAGGAAAAAAAAAAGAATATAATGCAAGAAGCTGTAATGAAAAAAAATATATATTTTTTTTAAGCATAAACATCCTTTTAATGGGATCTCTGTGGGTAAATTTAACAGGAAAAAAACACAGCATTTATCTCTAATACTGCCATCACATTTTTTAATTGTTTAGAAGTGAAAGAGAAACATGACAGAAGTCATTTTTTGTAGGGTCTGGTCATAATTTACACTAAATAATTGTAAAACATCAAAACCATATTTAGCAATATAAAAAACTAATAATGATCTTAAATTAGAGTAGCAAGTCTTTCAAATAATCTGGGACCTAGATGCTAGTGGAAAAAATCAACCCAGTCTCATGGGAAAATGTACCCCCACTACGTTGGTCCACACTGCAAAACGTAGTGGAGGTACATTAATGGCCATTTTTTTTGTGGTACTGTTACGTTTCTTCTGCCTATACGCTTTCTATTGTTTTACGTCCTAGTCATGTGACTTTCAAGATTCCAGCTGGGAGAAGAAAAAAATATATATAGATAGCCGACATTCGCTCATTTTTTTGTGGAAAGATTAATAACTTGAGTTTGTTTTTGCATTAAAATGAGTTTTGATTACATTTCTAGTGAGAAATGTATAGTTTGTTGCCAGAATATTTACTCAGGGAATGTACATATTCACTTGCTTGTTCATTTCTTGCAAAGATTTTTCAAGATAATGTGAAACTGAAACGTTTTGGTATAAACATGGACGAGATTTCTCTAACTTTTAGTGGGAAAATCAATAATTTCAATCAGTTTCTGCATTTAAATGGGTTTTGATTACATTTATAGCGAGAAGTGTAGGGTTTATTTACATAATATTTACTTAGTGAACATACATAATCACCCGCTTGCTAGTTTTTGCTACGGTTTTTCGGATCTCGTCAGGATTATGTGAAATTGCAACGTTTTGGCTGCTACCCATCGCCTAGCATTTAGCTGCCGCCCCGATTCAACATTGAATTCTTTGTGATTTAACTCCATCTGACGGATCAAACCCTCGCCACTGCGTGCGTTGCGTCTGAGGTTGATTTTCAGATCAATGCATTACGTCGTGGCATACTGTAATTTTGAATTGAAAAACGTCCTTAATGGGAAGTCTTCAAACTCGAAAAACAAAGTCCAAAGTTTGTTTGTTTTTTTTGGAATGATTATGACCTGGATGTCTAAGAATCTTCACCAGCTTATCAGGGAAATGAATGCCCACAATGTCTATATTCTCCAAAAGAGAATAACAGAACAGACCTTCATGAGGCCCTTGTTAAAGCTATGCACATATTTATGCATCTATGCTCTTCAAATAACTTTCTGGTTCGACGCAACATTTACATTAAATGGGTTGAGAGGTTGTTCTTTACCAGTAAA